AAACTTTGAGCAGCCTGGTCTGGTGGGAGGTGTCCCTGCCCAGGGCAGGGGTTGGGACTGGATCACCTCTAAGGTCCATTCCAACCCCTTCACATACTGTGGAACTATGCGTAGGTGTGAATAAGGTGAACACACACCTCTCAGAGCAGGTGCACGTTGAGCCTGCCTGAGGGCTGATGTGTGGTTATGTACCTGAATCCTTAGGGAAGTTGGCTTTGATCTCCTGGAGTGGTTTTTCCACTGTGGGTGGCTGCATGTGAACCAGAACGTCCGAACCTGCTCAGGTGCAGTGCAGAGAGTTTCTCCCAAGTGAGAAAATGGGGATGAAGTGTAAAGAATCAGGGACCTGTGTTTTCCTTGCTCCTGTCCCTGTCATTGAGGGGTGTCACACTGTGACTGTCCCTTGCAGGTGGCTCCTGAGGGGACTTGAGTGTTTGTCTCAGTGTGTGTTACACTGTGCAGGTGCCTCACTGCCAGCCCTGGCTGGGGCTCACCTGGGCACAGGCCCCTGCCACTGGACAATATTCCTGATGGGGTGGGGAAGGGAGCAGCCCCAGCACCCTCCCTGGGCTCTGTCCTCTGCCAATGGGTATCCAAGCCCCTGCTTTGGAATATGTTGTGCACTCATTGTCCGAGCTGCTGCCTCAGCCCCAGCTCTGCCTCACGGGGCTGTGTGTGCTGTAGGAATGTCAGTGCTGGATGTGTGAGGGCAATGCTGGTGGATGTACATGGAAATGTGCTGAGTTTCTTGGTGGTGTCTGGAGAGGTTTTTTTGTCTCGCCTAGAAATAGTCCTGTTCGTTCTCCCAGGTGGAAGAGCAGGGACAGATGGAATCTACCTGTGAGGGACAGTTAATATTTTCCTGTAAAGAGGTCTTTTCTTTCCAAAAAACTCTCTTTGGCTATTTTTCATCCTGTACGATCTGAGCATCAGACGAGGAGTGAGCACTGCTTGAAGGATCAAACTGTTCCCTCTGGAAACAGCTCTGTCCTTGAAGGGCAGGCTTGCTCTTCTGCCTGCACTGCCACAGCACTTGCAAGGAGCTCTGGAATGATCCCAGTTCCACCTCCCTTCCCTTTTAGACCAATTCCAGCAGTCAATCTGGAATTCCACACTGCAGCTCTGCACTGACTTGTGGTGCCCCATCCCTGGCTGGCATTGCCTGGAGCCTGGCAGTGCTGTGCCCACACAGCCCCAGGGCTGCAGTGCCCATGTCCCAGGCTCCTTTCCTATGCCCAAAGCCTTCAGGAGATCAGGCTCAGGGTGCCCTGAAGTGATTCCGTTTGCATCACCCATAATCAGTATCTGCTAGGCTGGTGTTATCCCTTGCACTGGTGACTGGACTGACTTCTATTTCTGTCTGCCTGTTTGGTCTAAACTTCCCAAAAGCATGGCAAGAAGGAGCCTGAAAGAGGAACCCGGGGGTGCCTGGGCACTTGAGCTGTCAAAGTGGCTGTTCAGAGTTCCGTAGTGCTCAGTTCTCGTTTCTCTGGGCTGTCCTGCAGAGCTCCTGCGGCTGTGGCTCCGCTGGGTGCCCCCATGGAGCAGGAGTGAGGTCACAGGGCTTGGGGCTCCCTCGCTGACCATGGGGGTGAGCAGGGTGGGGGAACTGCTCCAGGGCAGGAGGAGGATCCCATTTCTGAGGTGTTCCTGTCCTTAGCGCGTGGCAGTCCCCGATGGGCAGGGTTGGCTCTGTCTGCTCCGGAGCTATCTCCCTTTACAGAGACGATGTAAAATGCACCAACAAAGGCTGGAGCACAACAGGAGGAAGGGCTGGTTGCAGTTACTGGGTTGGTTTCGTCTCTCTTGGTCACAGATATCGATGATCCAAGCCCTCATCTGGCCCTGTCCACCCTGGGTATTGCAGAGAGGCTCTTTGTGTGTTTCCAATTGGAAATTCTCTGCTTCAGTGCTGGCCCAGGAAATGTCTAAAAAGCCCAAGCTGTTAAAAGTTGCAGTTTGTGCTCTCTAACCTCTAGCTGTGATGAATTCCACAGGAATTCCAGGCTGGAGCTGGAGAGCAGACCTTTAGCAGACTGCTAGGAATATTGAAACTGAACGCAGAGCTCAGTGATGAAATCTCCCCCGGACCTCACATACCATGCAGGGAGACAGTTTCACTTTCAGACCTGGGCTGCTCGGCTGGGAAGGAGCAGGTCCAGTGGGATTTTCAGGCCGCGCTGTCCCTCTGGATCCAGGGGATCCTGCAGCTCTGCTCGCCGGACAGCGTGGCCGAGGCTGTTGGAGCTGGGACCTGTCTCTGTGTTGTTGGTGCTGCCCTGTAGGCTGAGCTCTCTCCCAGCCTCTCACATCCTCTCCCAGCACAGTGCCAGGACCAGGAGCCTCATCTCTAGGGATTTGCTGTAGCAGCAAGAGCTGCTTCTTCCTTGGAGTATTTTTGGTAAGAGGAGACACGGAAAACCCCTTTGAAAGTGCTGTGACAGTTCCCTGGGGCCTCGGCGTGGTCAGTGCTGGTTGTCATGAGGCAGGGTGGGATGTGGGAGCTTTGGAACCCTTTGGCTTGCAGGGAACTCGTGATCCTCGAGTTTTCCATGACGCAGGTGATGGCACAGGCAGCACCAAGGGCTGTGCCCACTTCTCTGTTCTCGTGCCAGGTGCTGTCCTTGGGCTCACACAGGTTTCTGACACTGATTTAGCCAGGTTTTTGTTGAGGTTTTCCTTGGAATTTGGGTGTGTAAGCTGGAGAGCCGCCTTGCACCAGAGTGTTGAGCGAGAGCCGTGACCCTCACGTGGGTCACTCTGTCAACCTGCTGTCCGGCACAGCGAGCAGAAGGTGATTTTGCAGCTTTGGTGGGTGAAGGTTGGGTGTGGGACATCCAGCACGTGCTGGTGCTGTTCTCCTTGGACAAGGAATGCCCTTGGCATCCTGCAGGATCAGGGCATGGCTGGGAGGGTACAGAGGGAATTCTTGGTGCCTCTTGCTTCCCACCATTCTGTTTTGCATGTTTTGAATGTTTTGGAGCTGCACTAGAGCCCCTGCTAAGCCAAGGCCACTGAGCATTCCAGCATTCTGGCTAAGCAGCTTTCCCCTGTTTTGCCCTGGGCTGGGGGCTCTGACTGGTCCTCACGGCTCTGCAGACCCCACAGAGGGCACAGCTGGCACAGCTGTGGCATCACAGAAGGGAAGCATCACTTTTAATTTCCCTTTCCATCCAAACACAGCATTCAGTTTGTCCTCCAAAAGGTCACTTACTTTTAAAGGACTCTGAGTCAGAAATGGCTCTTCGAAAATGCTTCTAGTAGCAAATAGTGTCTCCCAAGTGATCAAAGGTGGCTAATTTAAATTGCAGCTTTGGTCTGTGCTGGTAGGTGTTGTGTGTGTCTGGATTCTCCATCACAAGTGTTGGCCACTTTGATCCCCTTGGCTTCTGAGGAGGGACACGGTCAGAGGAGGCAGAAGGCGGCGAAGAAAGGTGCGATGGAGATAAAGATGTCACAGCTGCTTTTCTCTGCTCCTCTGGTTGCATAGGTTGCTGTCACCACCTCCTGTTCTTTTGTTAATCCATGAAATCCAATTGGAAATTGGTTTCCTTTGGGAATACAGAGAATTTAGTGAAACAGAATGATCAGTTTGAAGGTTTTGACTGAGAAGTTGTGCTGGAGGCAGTGAGTGACCCCTGGGGTTAATCCTGCCAGGTCAGTGCTCTACACTGCCATGAGTTTGCACACAAGTGCAGAGTCTGTTTGTGCTTTCCCAGGTGTGTGTGCAGCGATGCAGGTGATGGTGGTGACCTGACACGGTGTGAGCAGCAGGGCAGGAGAGGTGTGTTCCAGTGCCGTGCTGGGTGAATTCCAGGTGTAGAGATAGCTGAGAGCTCCTTCCCAGCAAAAACCTCTCTTTTCTGAAGGGGCAGTAGCATTTCACGTGCCGGTGGCTGTTTGCTCATCTCTCAGCTACGTTTGGTTGCTTTTTTTCCCCCCTCCCCTTTCATCAAACCTAAACGTGTGTTTCTCTTTCAGCCCAGGACATGGTGCAGGGTGAAGAGCACAGATAAGACCTCCCAGCACTCCACAGCCTGTCCTTTAGGACTCCATGCAGCAGCTCACCCTGCCATGGATGGGGGGAACAGCTTCCCGCAGCACCAGCAGCCGAGCGCCGTCCTCTGTGGCATCGCCGTGCCAGATGTGGAGGTGAGATCTGCAGCTCCTCGGAGGGGAGTGCACTCCCAGGAAGAGTCTGGGCAGAGCAGGCCAGCCTGGCACATCCTGGGAGTCCTGGTGCATGTTTACAGCAGTGGCTTCCCATTCTTTCCAGGGGCATGCAGGATGGATGGAGGGGCCGAGCTGAGGCTTAGCATGGGGAGGGAGGAGCAGGGCTGGGCTGTGATTAAAGCCAGGCCTGAAGGCTGGTGGGTGGCAGCTCCTTGGGGAAGGACTGAGGAGTGTTCCCAGGATTCAGACCTTGTCCCTGCCCGGTGTGTCTCTCCGAGACGTGTGAGCCTGTGGCTGGGCCCAGCTGTGCCTGTTTGCAGAGCAGCACTTGCCCCTGGTAGGACTGCTAAAACCCCTGTGCCAAAACAGCTGACATGTCCTGGTGTTTTCTCTTTCTGTTTCTAACCTGGAGTGAATCACATGCAGGAACACAGAGGTTCAAGCGAGGCCCAAGCGCCTGTTACTTCAAGCACAAGATTTCAGTGCTTTGGGCACACAAAGGACAGGAGAAAGGCTGCTGTGGAGCTGAGTAAGGAGATACTGTGTTATATCCCTGATTTTGTTGGTGTGAGCTGAGATTAAAGCTTCCCGTTAACATTGGAGGCGGTTCAGGGAAGTGGGAGGACAAGGCACAGAAGGATGTTTTCAGTTGTGACCTGTGCCAGCCAGTTTCAGGGCACTGGGTTGATGCTGGATTCCCACAGAGACTGTCACAGAATCACAGAATCACTGATGCTGGAAAAGGCCTCCAGGATCATCAAGTCCAACCTATGACCGATTACCACCTTATCAACTAGACCATGGCACTAAGTGCCATGTCCAGTCATTCCTTGAACACCTCCAGGGACGGTGACTGTTCTACCTCCCTGGGCAGTTCCAATGCTTAACAATCATTTCCATGAAGAAATTACTCGTGATATCCAACCTGAACCTCCCCTGGCATAGCTTGAGGCTGTTTCCCCTTGTCCTGACAGAGTGAAAGGGCTGGGGAGTAACCTCAGTGTCCTTCTGGGTACAGGGATAGGGAAGCAGGTTCCAAAGCTGAAAGTGGAGAGTAGCACTCGATGTCTCCTGCTCCAGGGACCAGGAGCCACCTCTGCCTCTGGAGAGCACTGAGGGGGGAAGCCACAGGCCTGCCCTCAGGTCTGCAGCCACAGGTGCTGGTCCAGGCCTCTGCTGCCCTAACTGTTCTGCTCTCTCCTTGCAGAATTCCATGCTGGCCACCAACTCATGGAGCAGCTGCTACCCTGCCTCGTTCCCCACCTCGTCTTTCCCAAGTGAAAACCAGTGAGTGCTGTTCTCCTTTGTCTAATCCCCTCTGCTCTCGCACACCCCATGATTCAACTACTTCTTCACTTGTTTACTTTATTTCACGATCTGATGGGGAAATAATTGCATCACTCACTGATCTTGTGGCATTTTGTACACTGCTGCAGCTTGGAAACAGCAGCAAACAGCTTTTTGTTTTTAAAAGAAGGGAAAAGCTTTGATAAGCCTGGAGGCTGCAGTAAGGGAGGAACTGCCTTGCTTAGGCTGGAATTCAAACACCCCGTGAGCGTGATGCAGCTGAGCAAGCACTCCAGGCTCTGTACAGGCATGGAGGAAGGTGTTACCTGTCCCAGGTGGCAGATCTGGGGTGAAGTGAAAATCCTTTGCCATGGAGGTAACTGGAAGTGACTAACACTAACTGCCACATCATGACAAGTGGCTGAACAAACGTGCTCAGCCTAGAGCTCGTCAGGAGTGTTGGCTCTGCTCTGGTTCTGACTGATGGTCTTCACTGCTGACATCCCACAGGGTGACAGCTCCTTGAGAAGTTGTGACTGGCTTCCAGGTAAAGCCTCCTCATAGGCAGCACAGCTCAGTGCTGTGCACTGTGATGGGTTTCAGCAACCTTTGGGTGGTAACAGCAGCTCTGTCTGATGGGAACCACGTCAGCCACGTGTGTGCTGGATCCAGAGCAAAAGTGGTTCTAGATTACCTGCCCAAAATAGTATTTTTGAGAGGTCTTTGCACAATGTGATGAACCTCCATCCTGGATCACAAGGTGGGATATGATAGGAGACGTTTGGGACAACATCAAGTGGCCTTGTGCCCCAGTGAGTGACTTGGATGGGGACTCTGTTGGAGATGCTGATTGTCAGGCAGGAGGTTCAGAGGCTGATCCACAGCTGCTTTGGACTCTGAATCCAGGGAGTGGCATGGATACACAGGATGTGTTCTTTATCTAGGTCAGAGGTGGGAGGAATGGAAAATCAAAGAAGCAGAATTTGATATCTTGTGCTAATAACTGTGCTCAGGTGAGGATTTGGTTTAAGCTCTTTCCTAGAGGGATTTTTGCATCCCCATGGAAAAGCAGAGATCCCTCCCTGTGAGGGTGTGAGTTCCAGCCTGGTGTCAGCAGTGAGGATCAGCCCCTCTGTCTGGAGGATGTGGTGTGTCGTGTCCCTGTGTTGCCCTGGAGCCTCCCAGTGCGGGAGGTGTTGCGCAGCACCGGGTGGATGTGCAGGGCAGATCCTGCCAGAGGCACTATGAGCTCTACCCTGCAGGTGCTGAGGGAGCTGGGCAGTGCCAGCCCCTCCCCACAGTGGGCACAGCAGAGCTCCGTGGGTCCCTGTGCTCTAGCCAGTGCTGATTGGAAGGGGCTGTGCTTTTTGAGCAGGATTCCTGTAAATTGCACCTTGTGAATCCTCCAGAGAGCTATAACAGAATTTCTGTTTTGCTGCATTGAACCACAAGATTAGATTGTGTTTATCTACTGTGTTGGGTTTTTATCTTGACCATTTGTTCTGGTTTTGCCCCTCTGTCTCTTCCTGTTTGGGGCTGCCTGTGCCAGCACTGCTGGGAATGTCACAGCCCAATCCTGCAGGGACATGCCTGTGTCTAACTCAGACCTGGACTTGCTGCCTTTGCTGGAGTTACTGCTGGAAATGAGGCTCGTTGTACTGATTGTTTGCTACAGAATGATTTAACCTGTTCTTCATTCCCTGTAACTGTACAAATCACCTTTCAGGTGAGGTTTTTCTGTATCCGTAGTTCACACTAAACAAGTCTGTGCTGTTGTACTTGAAAACGGCACTGACTGTTTTAGGTAGATTTAGGGTTAGGGGGTCACAGGTAGGAATCCTGAAAGGGATGGGGACACTGAAAAATGGGACTTTAAAGGCAGCTGTAATTGTAGCCTGTGCTGAAACTAGAAACATGCAGCTCCATCAGAGGTGGTGCACATTTCTCTGCTGAATCCTTGCAGAGAAATCTCATTTGCAAGTGGCTGTGTTTGGACGTGGCTTATTCTCATGGCAACACCTTTATGCTGAAGCAGGTTTTTCCTGTTTTTTTTTCAGGAGTTCACTTTCATGCTTAGAGAATTTCTTTAGAAGACCCCAAGTGTGGCCTCTTGGGTTCAGGTTTTCTTAACCTGACAAATGTCAACAGTGTATTAAGCCTCCTTGAAAGAACCAGTGAGGTTCAGGGCCCTGAAGAGCTGCAACTCAGCTCATTTCTAAGGGAATTATCCCTGTGGAGCTTGGCTTCCCCTGCAGCTGGAGACTCAGCTTGGGGGGAGATGCAGAGACCACAGCGGCTTTGGCCTGAGAGCCATTGCAACCATCCTCTTCCTGTGTGAAAACACAGTCATTCCCAGAAGTTATGCAGTTTTCCATGTGCCTGCATGGATCAGAAGGAGCTGGGAGTGGGGGCTGAAGTGGGAGCTGTTGTGTGCAGGTGTGTTCACACAGGGCTCACGTAAAGCTGTGGCAGCAATGAAAGGAAGGAAAAAGGGAAAGGAGGGAGAGGAAACTGTTCCGTTTCAAGGATATTATCTTTAATGCTGGAAAACGAGCAGGAAAAATGTATTTAGTAGAGGAGATAACTGTGTTTGCGCATAAATCCGGATGTAAATGCTCCGCACGGTGTGTTAATGAGCTGCTGGTACCTTAATTGCTTAATAATCCTTTGGCAGTGCAGCCCTTCCCAGCTCCTGGGCAGGAGTTCTGCCTCTCCCTGCCCCAGTGCCTCGCTCGGGTTCCTGGCTGTGGGATCTCTGTGGCAGTGGGGAGCACACAGAACTCCCCACAAGAGGAAATGGGTGAACGCTCGTGTGGCTCCAGCAGTGCATGGCCCTTGCAGGAAGGATTCAAAGCACATCCCTTGCTCCTGCAGGAGAGGGAAGGGGCTGGTGCCTGCAAGAGCAGAGCCAGGTAGATGGTGTGGGGCAAGGGGAGGGAATCTCTGTGCAGCTTTGCCCTGGCAGCTCTCACCAGCACTGCTGGTGTGTGTGCTCCAGTCTGTGATATTTCCCTGCACCTTGATGTCCTCGTGTGCTGTGACTGGCAGGTTCCATCACACCCTCACACTCAGCACTGGGACATCCCAGGGCTTTCCTTCTGCCTTGTCCTCATGGACTGAAGTGTCCTTGAGTCCTGTAGACCATTGTTTTGGTTTACACAAACTGCCAAGAGTTATACTCCCAGTACAGTTTTCTTACACTACAGAGTTTGGGGCGTGGGATGAAACTGGTGGATGTATTATTTTGCCTACATCTCTTCTGGCTCATATCCATGATAAGATCCATCTCCTGTATGTGACATCCCAGAGCTGCAGCTTCACCACTGCCAGAGGCTGAAGTGACCTGCAGAGTTCTGGGGCCTGACAGGAAGTAACTGCTTCTCCCATTTCCTTCCAGGCAATATTTGAACACCCCTCAGGATTTTTATACGGATTCCATCAGCAGATCCAATTTCTTGGATACAAACTATGCAACTGTGGACCCCAATGAGGGTTTTCCTCAGGTAAGTGCAGAGTTCCTGATGCCTTTGAGGGAAAGGTGGTGCTGGTGGTTGTTTTTCAGTGTTGCCTTACTGAGGGGAAAGGAAATGATGCAATGATTTGTCCAGCCCTGGACAGGAATTGTGTGCAGTTGGGATTGATCCTCTCACACCAGGAATTCAGAAGCTGTCCACAGCTTGGTGGGAGCTTCCTTGTGGTAAAACTGCTTCTGCCTTTTAGAGTGATGTTTGCCATAAGCACTGGCAGTGCTGGGGGGATCTCCTGGAGTGTGAGCTGAACACACTTCAGACTCTTCAGTCCTTTCCCTCCCAAAACACACTTGTGTTTCCACTCTGATTACAAGTGGTGAATTCCTGAATAGTGAATATTTAGGAATATTTACAAAGTGCCCAGCATTCCAAGAGTGGAGCCAGGTCAGTTCCTGCAGAGCTGAAGCGTGGGTGGAATGAGCAGTGACTTCAGGTCATTCGGTGTCTCAGGGGACCCAGGGGCTCCCTCCCCTTGGGGATCTCTGGAGCAAGGAGCTCTTTCCATGGAGGGGCTGGAATGTTGCACTGGCTTTTGGCAACATCTCATGGTAAGGTTAGTCAGTAAAGACTGGAATTAGCTGATACGACAGAGCTGACTTGGAATAAAGAAGGCACTGGATATATCCTTTCCAGGAGTTAATATGGACATTGTCTGGCTGTGCTTGTGTTAATTCCTCCTCACGGTGCCCTTGGTTTCCTGGTGTGGCTGAAGAGAGGCTGTGACCCTTCTTGGGGCTCCAGTTGTGCAGGTTTGGATGTGCAGGTGCTTTGTGCCTTTTGAGGTGGTCACTGATGTGTCCCCCCATACAGCTCCCTGTGCCCCACATCATGGACCTGCCTGGCACAGCGGGTCTGGGCAGTTACTAGGAGCTGCTCATCAGGATCTTCTGACTGGATGAAACCAGATAAGTTAAATGAATCATAATAGCATTGATCTCTGCCTCCTGCAGAATTAAGTGTGGGAGGAACAAGACAGAAAGGTGATCTCATCAACCTGTGGGACCATTTACCGTGCTGCGATGGGAAGGGAGAGGGTCCCCACCATAGGTCTCACCTCCAGGTCTGAGGCAGTTTGGCTGATGGGTTTAACGGGAAAATGGCTTAAGTATTTCTTTAACTTATGTATTCTGTAGTATCTCCGTGGTCAGTCAGCTTCCTTCCCTGCTGCATCACGCAAATTGATCTCAGCCGGCTCAGTGGGGCAGAGTTTTGGAGATCCTTTGTGAAAAGGAGGTGCTTTGTGTTGGCTGTCTGAGAGAGCAGCAGGCTCTGAGACAAACCTAGTAGAGCAGCAGGCCCTGAACTGTAGGCAGTGGTGTCACTCTTGAGCCACCCTGGAGCTTTTCCATCCCTTCCTTCTGCAGTGTTTTCCATTTCACTGGTTTCTTGGTGTCCCAGATGCCAAACAATCCGCCTGGAAAGCTGAAACATGCCATCTGGGGGGTGTGGGAGCAGCTGGGTGGCTCCATCTCCCCAGGTGGCTGTACAGGAAAGTACCTGTCTTTCCAAACTTCCATGGTAGGAGTGGCAAGTGCCACAAGACCTTGTGCTGGTCTGACTGTGCCAGACGGAGCAGTGGAGCCAAAGGGGAAACATGAGGAGTCTGCTGAGAGCTTGGGTAAGAGACTCCTGATCCAGTCTATGGCGCTGGGCAGACGAGGTGGGTCAGGTGCTTGTGTGGGACTTGTGCTGCCTCTACACATGGATCCAGGCTGTTCTCTTGGCTTTACTCAAATCTGCAGATTTGAGGAACACTGAAAAGAGATTTGAAAGGTCTAAAGAGCAAATGCTTGATGATTCTGAGGTATTTGTGTAGCAAACACTCCTTTGGTGGTGGAGATGGAAGGGTTGTCCCTGTGCCGTAGGGTTTGGTCACCTCGAGGGTTTGGAGTGCAGGAATGGTGGCACATTTTCCTGCAGCATTGGCATTTGCTTCCCTCATTTTTCCATGTTTTGTTTTGGAGGTGCTCAGCTGGACTTGCAGAGTGCAAAGCCTTTGTTGACCTGGAGATGCTGAGAGGGAGTTGTCACATTTTCTAATGGCTCTAGGAATTTTTCTTCAGTTGAATCACTCAATTCAACTCACGCTGTCAGTGTACAGGGAAAGGTGCTTTGCTGCCTGGCCAGGACAGCCTGATGTGAACTTGAACTGGTTTCCTCCACAGTATTTTTGGGTTCTGGCTTGCTCCTGGGTGATTCATCCTTGCTGGTCTATTGGCATTTTTCTATAAACAAGTGGCTCGAGCAGAGGTTCAGAAAATAGTTCTGGGAGGCCACGTTGAGGTCTGACAGTGCTTCTGGTCTTGGGAACTGTTGTCTTCAGCCAAAGACTGTGTGGTGCCACCTCCTCATGGAGAAGTCTGACTGCCCACGTGTCCTCAGAAATCACAGTCCTGAGAGGACAGGATTTCGTTCCCTCCCTTCCTGCTGGTTATTCCTCCACTCTCAGGTGCTGCTGAGCTGGAATCCAGTGCTCATGGGCAGTAATTTTGCCAGGACACTTTTACCACGCTGCCCCTGGGCAGAGTCACCTGCAGTGACACTGTGAGGATGCAGTCACAGCCTTGTTTGATCTGCTGTGCTGCCTGGGGACTCCTGGCTATGTATGTTAGTCATAAACCACCCTCTCCTCACCACCAGCCCCTTGCAATCTCCTGTTCCTCTTCCTTGTTAAAGCAGGAGGAGAAATTAACCTGCTCTTAAAAAAAGTATTAATTTTTAGAAGTGCTTCAGCGCACAGAGCTGTTGTGATTTAGGGGAAATCAATGCAGCAGTTATTAAATTATATGGAAGACTTGGTTGTGGCTGAAACAAAGAGTTTCCTGGAATAAGAAACATCCTGGAACTTCTGTGTCTGTCGTGGAGTTCTGTCTGCAAGGACAGAACAGGCATTAAAATCCATTTGCAGGTAGTTACCTGGCTCTGAGGCCCTGGAAGAACAAGTGGCTTTACATGCTGGTGTCTGGTTTTGCTCTGCAGGGTTGGGGTTTGGGCTGATTTGATTTCACTTCATAAACCCTCTGGGTGAGACACCTGACACTCACTGCAGGCCTGGGGTTAGGAAGGTGCAGGCTGTGGTTATAACAATCACTGTTCACTGACTCAGTGCTCAGGGTGCTCTGATTAGGGCATCCTGAGCTGGTCCCAGGGGGAGGAAACATCTGGGATGCAGCTGATGTTATTCCAAAGCAGTATCTCCTTTTGGTTGGATGAATTGTGCTTGAGGAGTAAATCTTTCCCTTCTGTGTGTAAGAGGAGCTCTTGGGGCTGTCTCAGGTGGAGATACCTGTGGTTAAGTAGGAGGAATTCTGCTTTTGAGGCATGTTGTGTTGTCAGTTGTGCTTGGCTGTGGGTTGCAGGAGCAAGCCAGGATGGCTGTGGCCCTGGGGAGGGTACCAGAGCCTGGGGGGCTCAGATATCCCCCCATACCAGACTGGGTAGTTCAAAGTGATGTCCACTCCAGGCAGGAGGGACTGGAGATCTGTTTCTGAGGTTCTTGGCAGGCCCTGCTCACTGCTTCCTCCCTTCCCAAAGCCAACAAAAGCGGGAAAAGCCGGTCTGAAACGCTCAGTGCTCTTAAAACTGCTGGTAATAGAATTCAATAGACCATGGGGACATGGTTTAAAATAGATGCTTTAATTCAAAGTAGAGCTGGTCTGAATCAGGGGATGCTGAAGGTTCCCCAGCACAGAACTTCCCTGGGCTGTGCACTCAGGTTTGGCTGGAATGGAGTAGGTCAGGTGTGAATGCTGGAATAGTCCTGTCAGCACACACGTTCCTGGATTAACTGTGGGATTGCTGGGGCATGCCTCTCCCCTAGGACAGGCTGGGAACTTTCCAGGTGGTGGTTCCACAGTGGTTTATCTTATCCACGGTGATTACACTGCTGTGGTCTTGCAAAATCAATGCAGCAGCTCTGCCTTGGCAGTGCAGGTTTGCTGTCTGCATTGGGCCCCACTTGTTCACTAACAGAAGAGGAAGAGGAAATAATCCACCTGCTTTTCCAAAGGTTGCAGGAATAGCAAAACCTTGGTTGTCTTGGTGGTTCAGTCAGGTCACGCAGCAAGTCACTAATTGAGGTAGTGCAGAAATTAATTTGGTCTCTTCACACGTGTCATTAAAGCTCCGGCACCGGGTACGAGGCACTGCCTGCTCTTAAATACAGCAAATCCAGAGAAAAGAGCAGTGAAAACCCTCAGTCAGGGAACTGCTGCTCACAGTCTCTACCGGGAGGTGAGATGTGCTCTGGGACCAGGGAGAGCCCTGCAGTGATGCTCCAGCTCCTCCTGTGAGCCCTATCCCTGGGTATGCATTCATCCGTGGCTGAAGCTGTGCCAGGGGAAAGGTGTTTTTCTTTCCCATTTGCTTATGGAAAAACACTCTCCTGGACTAGGTGTGTTGCAGGATGGAACGTGGATCCTCAGTGCTAAGGGCTGTTGATGTGTACTAGTCTTTGTGGAGCTGTGGTGCTGCGGTGGGTTCTGCCCTTGGAAACGAGCCCTGCTGCAGGTTTCTGCCCTGTAGGTGGTTTTCCAGCCCCAGGACCCGAGTGTTTTCCTTGGAGGGATCCATCCTCCCTCCTCATTGCATGGCATGAAGCAGAATTCCCCTCTCTGCTCTGTGTCCCTGGAGGACACCCCATGTTCTGCTCACCTCTCTCATGGGCCTGCTGGGGCTCTGTGCCTTCTTTCATCCCATAGCTTTGTTTCTGAAGTGCCTCCCAGTGTGCCTCCAGCCCTTCCCGGGGCCCCGGGAGCAGTTGCCTCAGCAGGGGCAGCAGCAGCTGCCAGCACACAGGGCAGCGTTTCCCTGCAGCTGTGGGTGCTGGAGAGACTGGGAGCAGGACCAGAGCCTGGGAGCAGAGGTTGCTGCTCTCCCATCCCAGCACGTGCCTGGCTGGGCCCGTGTGCTCCCGGGTTTGCTGAGCTGCTGGGACTGACCCCGGGGCAGATCCCAGCCCGGGGCTGTATCCAGGGCATGGCAAACAGGAGCCTCTTGCACACAAAGCAAACAGCAGTTGTCAGGGATTTTCCGCAGGGCAGAGGTTCTCTGGCTGGTTTCCTTCCCCTCCAGCCTCTGGAGGTGTTGGAGACCTTCCTTAAGCTTACAGCGACCAGAGCCCTTTCAGATATCACTTTCTGTGCCTTTCTCTCTTCCCCACCAGGAATTGTGCTTGTTTCTGTTACTAAAACTTGAAGGGGCTGCCTTGGGAAAAGAAGGCAGTATTCCCGGGAAAGAGCAGTGATCTGGGGAAGAACATGACCTCTCCTTTGGATTCTCACTGCCTGGGGTGGGGCAGACCCCAGGAACAAAGTGAGCGTGTGGCTCTGTGGGACACCAGGGGACACCAGGGCATGGGTGGCCCCTTGGAGCTCTCCCAGCCCGGGGCAGGGGCTGGCGTGGGGTGTCCTGGCGTGGGGTGTCCAGTGGAGTGGGTGTCTGGCTGGCACGAGGTGTCCGGTGGAGTGAGGTGTCCAGTGGAGTGGGTGTCCAGTGGAGTGGGTGTCTGGCTGGCACGAGGTGTCCAGTGGAGTGCGGTGTCCAGTGGAGTGGGTGTCCTGGCATGGGGTGCCCTGGCGTGGGGTGTCCAGCTGAGTGTGTGTCCGGCTGGCACGAGGTGTCCGGTGGCGTGGGGTGTCCTGGCACGAGGTGTCCAGCAGAGCGGGGTGTGCTCAGCCTGCGGCCGCGGCTCAGCTCAGCGCTGTTTACAGTGCCTCTGTGGTTGGATTACACCACGTACAGTAATTCCTTGCACTGCCAGTAATTTCACTGACTTACTAAGCAAGCATCATTTCCTGAAAGTCAGCCCTGGATTTAGAGGAAGTAAGAGCCCTCTCGTCGTGACTAAACGCTCTATGCAAATCTCCCGGCGCAGGACAGCGCTCTGTGCCCTGTGCCTCCATTTTCCCTCTGGCTGCTGCATGTTGGTGCTCGGAGCCCTTGGCGAGCCCTGGCCCTGTGCCTCGGCCCTGAATGGACCTTTCTGCTCCACGCGCTGATCACTCTTGCCCTGCTGCCTCCTGCGCCGCTGACAGCCACACGAATGCTGCTCTAAAATGTCCCAAATGCACTTCTGGCTAAAGTTCCCGTCTCTCTACAAGGTAATGCCTGTTTTCCCTGGTTGTTTTCCCTGCTGCTTGGGGTTCCTCATGTGTCTGGCTCGGCCAGCCCAGCTGCTCCCAGGAGGTGTGCAGGGGCAGCTGAGGTCTGGGAGGTTCTGGGGGCAGCTCTGCTGTGCCAGAGGTGGTTTGTGTCCTGCTGGGGCCTGCGCTCCTGGAGGCTCTTCTGTTGGCAGGACGCAGGCACTGGCTGGGTTTGGAGGGCAGGAGCTGTGTGAGGATTGTTCCCTGTGTTTGTGTGGGTGTGATGGCTTTGAGGAGTTTTATTCCCAAGCAGATGCTGGTGCAGGAGGCGAGGGGAGCACTGCCCAGCCAGAGCTGAACCCTCCAGACTGCCAGTCTACTGCCCCAAATTTAGAAAGACTTTGGGGTCTGGCAGCTAAAAGATTTCATAGTGACTGCTCACATTGCAGCTGCTGATTCTGTCACTCCTGAAACATGATTTGCTTAATCTGTGATTTCTGAAGCACCAAATCTCTCCTGGATATGGCTGTTTGTTTGTGTGTGTCTGGGCACAGATGTGTGTTTTGTTGCTTGGTTGGGGTATTTGGTAAACCCTCTCTCACTTGTCTGCTCTGCAGCACAGTCACCCAGAGCTGCTCTGCAGGAGGAGTATTTGTTTCCTCTGTGTCTGCATTGTGAGTAAATAAACCATTTCCATTGGTGGCCAAACATATTTTTAGGATGCTCATTCCTTCTGTATTTAGACTTCACTTGTTCTTTCATAATTTTCAACACTTTGTTTTGGCTCAGGTAGCTGAGCTGTTCCCAGGAGTGGGGAGAAAGGTTTGTTTGGTTTACCCTGATTTTTCTCCTGATCTTTTCTAGGGAGTTAATTGTTGGGTTTGATAATCTCAGTTTTGGGATCATGACAGGAACAGCATGTGCCATAATAGCATTGGTTCATCCTCTTCTCCCAGACCCACGTGCAGCTCTGCCTCCAGCTCTGGGTCCTCAGCCCAGGACAGGGCTTGGACCTGCTGGGGACAGTCCAGAGGAGGCCACGGAGATGCTGAATTCCAGGAATAAGATTTATGTAGAGAACAGTTGCAGAAAAGCATCTGAGATAAAGATCCTGCCTGGCAGGACAACTTCCATCTGCTGCAGAAATTTGACTTCCACTGAAACAGATGTGCTGTTACTGTAAACCCTCCAATGAGCAATCATTACAATTCTGATTAATCAGCATGAAACAGGGACAAAAGATGTCTGAGCTGATCCTGATCTTGGTTGAGGTGATGATCCTTCCTTTTCCCTGAGGACACCAAGGCAGCTGCTCCCATTTGTGCCAGATAAACCAGTGGAGTCCCCAGTCCAGGCTTGGTTTGTGCTGGTTGTGGTTGCTGTGGCCTCGTGTTAAACAGTTCCTCTGGGGGTTATAGAGCAGGGCCAAGTAGGTTCTTCGGGCGGAGACTCAGGCAGGTGATTAGCTTTACTGCTATTTAGATAATGTAATTAGTTAAGACAAACGGTAGTCTCTGGAATTGGTGAGTAATGCCTCGTAATACTGGGAGAGGATGGGATCACTGCATCATTCCCAGGGCTAGCATTGTCCTCCCTCTGCCTTGGGGGCTGGTTTCCTTTCCCCAGTTCAGCCCAGTGCCCCGAGCAGTGGTGGGGCTGGATGTGGCAAGGTGAGGACACTTGCTGGGGTGTCTTGGGTTGTGTCACAGGGCTCTTACAGGTCCCATTGCTGTTTCAGCCTGTTGTTGGGATCCTGATGTGCAGTGACCACTCTGGGCTGCCCCACAGCTCTCTGCTGCCATGACACAGGTGTGAGGATGTTTCCTCCTGAACCAGCCTCTGCCAGTGCCACATGCTGGTGAATAAACCTGCTCAGAAGTGTCTCACCATGGCTCTGCGATGGGATCTGGGACCATCCAGCACAGGGCACTCACTCGGGCCAAGGCCAGACTTGCCCAAGTGTTCTTCCACTTTCCCAAGTGTGACGCAGAGTCCAGAGATCCCTTAATTCCGAGGTGACAAATCTGGGTGCCTGTTCAGCCTCTGGAGGCCCTGGTTTCTGGGTAATCCTAAAATAGCCCCTGAATTATCAGAGCTGCCCAGGCCGTGCTGTCCAGGCCGCGCTGCCCGGCGGCTGGCAGAGCTGTCCTGCCTGGCACTGCCTCCCTCTCAGCCAGCCCTGCCCTGGGGGCTCTGGGCCCTCCTGGTCGGTGTCTGAGGAGTGCAGGTCCTCCAGTCACACTGCCCTTGTTTTAGGGCATCCGTTCCCACACGCCGCTGCCCGTGCCGGCAGCCTCGGGGCACAGAGGCTTCTCGGGGGCAAACGAGCCATAGCTAGGAACTAGGAGGAAGGTGAGGGTAACATGTGCTGATGGTTTAAACACTGCACACCCATAGCTGTTCGTAGCAGCTGGAGGGGTCTGACCCAGCTCTTGGCCCGAAGCCATTGGGAACAGTGCAGCCAGCTCGGCCGCTCGTGCGTTTGTGTCAGGCAGGGCTAAGTGACTTTGAAGAATCTTTGGCTGCCTTTCTGCCTGTGGTGGGAAATTGGCCCTTAACTGGAAATGAGCAGCGATTCCTCCTGTTCAGCCCCTGGCTCTCCTGGCAGCCATGCAGCAGGTTATCACACTGCTCTGGTTGTCTGGGTCAACTGATCTGTGTTGGCTGAGTCTGTGGGGCAAGAAAGTAGAACTTGCTGGATGCGTGAGAAAGGAGCTCTCTGGTCTCGTCCTGCCTCCTCTAACCATGGTCGTGTCTCCATTCCAGGATTCTTCATACCTCGATGAGCTCCCCAACAACAGCTCCCTCTTCTCGTCGCCCGCGGATTCCCTCTCGGACATCGCGGACCCCAAGGATTTCCTGCCTGCTGACAGCCTGAACCACGTGCCAACGCTATGGGATGTGAACACACCGCAGCAGAACCAGATCGAGGTAGGGGCTGCTCCTCTCCCATCCTCCTCAGCAGACAGGGAACACCTCAGGCTGCATCCTGGGTTTTCACCAAGGGATTAAGGAGCCAACCCGACTCCTCCGGGGTGAGGTTGAGGTGTGGTGATGCTAATTTCGCTGTTAGCAACTTCAGCGGTTGAAGTGGTGATGCATGTTTAGTCTCCTGGAAGCAGGAGGGAATCCAAACACCCTCAGAGGGATTCATAGAACCATAGAATTGAAGGGTTGGAATGGACCTTACAGATCATCTAGTCCCAACCCAATTCATGCACTCTTCCCGAGTGTGGTGCAGGCACTAGCTCTTTCCTCTGGCAACTGTGTGAGCACAGCAGCCTTGTCTCTGTTCCATGCTGTTCCTCACGTCCTGACCCTGCCCCTCGTGTCCAGCAAGCACTTGGCTCAGATAAGCCCAATTAACTCATTGGAATTCCGTTTATAACGACTTCCTTTGGAAAGGAATCTCCAGCTATTTTAAACACTGTCTTATCTGTGTTTTCTGAGAACAGAGATGGTTGGGGTGGGGCTGTTGCTTTTTGGGCTGGTTTTTAGGTACGTCCTGGACAGGAGATTTTGGTTTCATTTTTGTATGGGAGGTGCAGAGGACACTGGGTGAGAGGATTGACAAATTGACTCATCTTTGGCAGCTGCAATTGGTGCAGAACATCAGCAGTTTAGCTAATCTCTCCCTGTCCCTCCCCACATCATCACACCAGCACGATTTTCCACAGGATTGCAGGAATTTTGGCTTTTGAGCAGCCACTAAGCTGCAGCACAAATGGAATATCCGTCACGTTCCAGCCGGGCGGGTACATCCCGATCCCTTTGATCCAGGGCAGCTCTCAGCTGTGCCCGTGCAGGCAGCTCTGACCCACAGCCCTGTGCTGGGTTATCAGTACAGGAGTTTTTCCAGAATGTCTGTCTCAGAGGTACAGGCAGGGCAGGAATATCAGTGTCACAGCTCTGATGTGTGGGACATCCTGGGAGCCAAGCTGGATGCATCCTGTTGGAGGCCCACACATGGATCCCTGGTGCAGGAACAGCCTTGGGCCTTGTCCTCTTTAAAAAGAAACATTTCCAGTTCCCTGAGAGCTCCTGGACTGAGATGCCCAGTGCTGAGGTGATTTGGGATCAAGGAGGAAAGGACTGGATGCAGACCTGCCTCTGTGTGCCCATGGGGAGAGCTGTGATCCCTAGGAAAGGAGCTGTATCCAGCATGTTGGCTCTGTATCACTCAGGAATGGGCAGGAGGGGAAGAGCTGCCACCCTGTGAGATATCTGCAGGAGCAGCAGACAAAACACTTCATTTGTAATGGAGCTGGGAAATACCTTTTAAAAATAGTCCCTGTCACCCATTGTGTTTGCTCTCATCCATCTCACACATTCCCAGTGTTTTTAAGGCTGGGAAGCACAGCCCTGCCTTGGAAGCCTGTGGCTGGAATTTTGGAGCTGCAGTTTTGGATGCAGTTTTCTGTAGCTCATTCACAGCATGTTAAAGATGTGAACAGCCTTCTCCCAGCTCAGCACCCAGGGAAGGGATTTACACAGAGTGGGGTTGGCTTGGCAGGCGCATGGCACCGATTCCCTTCCCAGGGAAGTTGGAGATGGGACAAAATGGAGAATAATGCAGAGAGGGGAGAAATGGAGTAAGAGTGAGGCTGTGATTGTGCAATTGTGAGAGTCTCCTTCCTGCTTCTAGCCCCATGTTCTCATGGATCTGTGTGCCTCAGCTCTAGATGAGCTTAGCACAGAGGGAGGAGAAGATCAAAGCAGGAGGTGAGGGAGGGTGGAGAATGGCAGGAATTGTACAGGTGGATGATCCATCACCCACTGCCGCTCCTGGTCTCACTGCACTGTCCCTCACAGCACATTCTCACCCGTGTGGGTGTTTTTCAATGCTCAAGCAACTAAGGCTCCTGTTGCTTCCTCAGCAATTCCCGAGGTGGAATGCTGAGTGCCAGAGCTGGATCGGGATAGCAGAGATTTGTACTTGGAGGACTGTGTGATGCAAAACCAGCCCTGCATTCACTTCCCAGAGAACACATCCTGCCCTTGCAGCAGCTCCAGGCCTTTCTCCTGCCCGAGACCAAAGTCTGAGCTGGGATTTGTAGGTGGGGATGTTTCACCTGCTCTCCAGATTTGCTGGCACTGAAAGCAGCTCTTCCGTCCAGCTTCCTTCTGGTAATTCTGACTCAGGCTTCCAGGAATGGAGGGTGGGTTTTTGCTTTCTTCTTCTTTTTATTTTTTTGATTTTATTTAAAAATAGAGTGTTTATGCCTGAGAACTTCCCATCTTTCATTGCTGCTGGAGCACAGGGCTCAGCCTGGCACTCTGCACAGCCTGTGCACTTGGAGCAGTGCTGCTCCTGGAGCTGCTGATTGCTTTGGATGCTACGAGCTGCTGTCTTGACCTTGCTGTCGGGAAGTTCCAGGGTGAATTTGTTTGTTTGGGAGCAGAGTATCTGCTTCCCTGAGCCTTCCCAGCCTGGAGTGCCTTGGGAGCTCTCTCCCTGCTGGCCGAAGTGCAGAGGGCAGGATGGTCCAAGGATCTTTACTGTTGTGTTTCCATGCTCGCTGGGGTCGGAGGGCTGAGGGTTTGGAGCACTTCCTCACCTGCAGCCTTTGTGTTCCAGCTATTCTCATCCAGCACACCGTTCCCAGGCCTGAACAGCTCCAATGACCATGTTTCTGCCATCCCCAACACCCCTCTCCTCATCAGCTACCAGGTGAGAGCGATGGTTGGCCGCAGTGGGGTGGGACACAGGCTCCTGGTGACATCCCAGTGTGGGGGGAGCAGTTCTGGCCTTTTTCTCTTCAGAGGGAGTGAGAGAAGAAACTCAGGCACAAGTCTCTGCCCTTTCTCAGAAGTGTGTTGTATTTCCTAGGGTGGAATCCTTTTGTGTTAAGGAATGATCTGGGCTCTCAGGACTTTGCTGGTGCTGTTGGGCACCACTCTGGGCTTAAAGCTGGGCCAGGTGCCTTGCTGGGGGCCAGGTTGGAGCACAGCTGGGCAGGGTTCATGTGAGCCCACAGTGGTGCAAGCATCCCTGTCCAGTTCAGCGAGGACCAGGCACTAAGCAGCTCTGATAGGCCCTGGGGTGAGCTCCCACGGGTGGTTTTCCTTAGCCTATGAGGGAGATGAATTGTGTGTGGGGTTTGGGGGTGGTTTAAGTGGCAGTCAGTGGCAGGACAGAGCACTGCTCAGTGAGAGCATTAACCCTGAGTCAATGCTGCTTGTCTTCAGTCTCAGACTCCTGCAGAGGAGGAGGATGAAGCAGAGGAGGAAGAAACAGAAGAGTTGGGGCAAACGGAGACCTATGCAGAATACATCCCTTCAAAGTGTGAGTGTTGCCATGGGAAGTTCTGTTCACTCCAGTGTGGACCAGCCCAGTTCGCTGCTCCCTCAAGAGCAGTACCTGGTGTTTGGCACCTCCCAGGCTGGTGGTTTCCAAGGGAAACTCTGCAGTGCCCTGGGCTGTGGAAGATTCATGAGCTCTGCAGTGCTGCTGAGGTGCCACTGGGAGCACAGACCCTGACTTACTTGTGTTCTGCTGTCATTTAGCCAAGATTGGGAAGCACCACCCTGACCTGGTGGTAGAGACGAGCACCCTGTCCAGTGTCCCCCCACCTGACATCACCTACAGCCTCTCCCTGCCGAGCTCCGTGGCCGACAGAGGCTCACTCTCTGCACTACAGCTGGAAGCCATCATCTATGCCTGCCAGGTACGTGCCTGCACCTTGCCCATGTCCTGACCTGACGGAAACTGCCTCTTGCAGGGACAGGTGTTCGTTTGTGTTTTAAAGTAACTAATTTGTGTGATGCAACTCCTCTGGCATGTGGCATTTCAAATGCCTTTTGAAGGGTTATTTGAAGTTGGGGCCTTCTATGGGGTCTGTTGCCCAAAGAGGCAAGAACCCCAGACTTGTGTTGCAGAGGGATGTACATTTTGGGGTATTTTCCATGAACTGCCACTGGTGAGCTCAGCGTGACCTCTGTCCCTTCCTGCTGTGTCTGAGTGGGAGGTGCATGTGCAGCAATGGGAATGTGTGAACGGGTTAAGTGTTGCTCTTAGAAACTCACATCAAAGCCATCAATCAACAAAGGCAAATCTAGTTTAAATTCCAGTTCTGTTGTTGATTTTGCAGCAACATGAAGTTTTATTGCCCAATGGGCAGCGAGCTGGGTTCCTCATCGGGGACGGCGCTGGAGTTGGGAAGGGCAGGACTGTTGCAGGCATCATCTTTGAAAATTATCTCAAAGGGAGGAAAAAAGCTCTGTGGTAAGTTGTTGGGGGTTTTTTTCCTCTTTTCCCGTAAGACCTTGGAGTTAATTTGGGTCTGGAAGTAAGGAATTCCTTAGTGCTGATGTTGGCTTTAGAGTTGAGTCATGCTGTGGCCTTGGGTAAGTAGTTTCCACCTCTTAGTGCCTGGTTGCTGCCTGTGAAATGGGAATATTGCCCCTGCAGCAGCGATGGAGAATGAGTCACTGTGAAACAGCAAGTTTTGTGCTCCTCAGGGTGTGATGTCCAGCCTGGCCCTGCTCCCTCTCAGCTCTGGATGGGTGTTTGTAGGCGTCTGGGTGCAGAGGCAGGGTCTTGGGGCTTTGCTGCACATCACACACAGCCTGTCCCAAGGGGCACACAGGTGTCTGCTGTCAGATCTCCTGTTGGGCTGTGTGGGCTACAGGAGATGTGAGAGCTCTGCACAACTCTGTGTTAGTCAGAGCCCTTAATCACCATGTGCCTGACTCCCCGAGGAGATAACCAGAAGGACATAATAGCTGTGACTCCTCGAAGAGATAGCCAGTCCGAGGAGGACATAACCATCCCTGACTCCTCGAGAAGATAAGTGGCCCCAGGAGGAGATAACCACCCCACGTCTCACTTTGTCTCCCTTCGCAGGTTCAGCGTCTCCAACGATCTCAAGTATGATGCTGAGAGAGACCTGAAGGACATCGAGGCCTCCCACATTCCTGTGCATGCCCTGAACAAGGTAGGAAAGTGGCTGTGCTGCTGCTCTGGAGTCAGCCCAGGGGAGCAGCTGAAGGGCTCTGAGCAGTGTCACCTCTGCCCACGGGGTCAGAGGCTCAGGCACTGAGCTGCCTGTGTTCCCTCCTCCCAGCCAGCTCTTCCCACTCGGGCTCCTGCTGTTCTTACACACTGTGGAGCTGCATGGGGAGCACAGAGCTGTTCCTGCAGGGAGTGGGAAGTGTCTCCAGGCAAGTGCCAGTACAGCAGGACTGGAACCTTGGCCAGCATCTCCTAGCAGTGGTTCGTGGAACCACTTCCCAGAGCGTGGAGGTGCTCAGGCTGTTGCCTGGCAGACCCATGATGCCACTGCTGAGGACGTGGGCATTGCCCCCAGCTGAGCAGATCAGAAGATTTTCAGGCCTTCCTCAGTACTGAGGCTGAAGGGTTTCTCCAAAGAACCATCAGCAGTTGTGTGATGGTTATTCACAGGGTACTTCGTGGCCTGTGCTTGAGTCTCTGTCCAGTGTCTCCCAGTTCACTGAAACCCTCTCCTCTGGTTTTAATGGTACTGAACAATCAGCTCTTACTGTCCATAGAAACCACAGGTGTTTGACACCTCTGAATGTGTTCCACTAAAAGCCTGAAAGGGATCTTGTTTTCAGCCCAAAAGGACTTAAAAATGGAACTTTCTTCAGCTTGGGGCTAGGGGTTTCAGTACAGGTGGGACCCACGGCAGTAAGACAGACAAAGAGAAGATGATTTTCTAGAAGGAATTAAAACAGACAGGAGGATTCAAAGTATAAAACACTCTGAACTTCACAAAAAAAGTGAAGCACTTTTGTTGCCAGAAAATCAACATCCCCGCACTTCACTGCAGGAGTCCAGATGTGCTGACACATTGGCTGGTGGCACTTCTCCAGGCATTTACAGTCTCTGTCATCACCATGTCTCACTGCCAAAACACAGAGCTGGAGACATCAGCTCCCAGCAGAGCTGTGCCTGTCCTGAGCTCAGCCTGGGCTGTGTTCTCCAGCGGCATGGAGTGTCCGGCGCAGCCGCTCGAGCGTGGGCTGTGGGCAGGGATGATATGACGTGCTGGGCACAGCCATCAGGGTCTGTGTGCTCCTCTCCCTTCCTGCAGATTAAATACGGTGACACAGCTACCTCAGAAGGAGTTCTCTTCGCCACCTACTCCGCGCTGATCGGCGAAAGCCAGGCGGGAGGACAGCACAGGACGCGCCTGAAGCAGATCTTGGACTGGTGCAGGGAAAACTTTGATGGAGTTGTATCCTTAAAAAAACCCAACTGAAAACTGCTACCTGTGACTGCTGCACCAGGGAACAAAGAGCTTGGGGCCACCCCAAGTCACAGGGAGCAGCTGTGGGAGCAGCCTGTGCCTACGGGAGGTATTTCAGTGCTGTGAGTGCAGCAACCCCCACGCTCTGCTCTCCTCCTCTGCCCAGGATGCAGGGGAGGTGGAGAATAAGCAGCTAGGGTTAACCTTTTCAGCATTCCAGTCCCTCAGCAAGACACATCTCAGAGATGAAGGGAGAGGAATGGGTCTGAGCAGCACAGGACTGGCCAAACCCTGCAGGTTCTGTGCAGTGTGGGGAACGAGTTGGTCCTGTTGGTACTGGGGCTGTTTGTTCTGTTGGTTGGAGGAGGTTGGGCTGTGTTTTCCATCTGCTCCCATCCTCGGGATGAACATAGATCCTTTCTCCTTGACTACCATTCCCCTGCAGATCGTGTTTGATGAGTGCCACAAAGCCAAAAACGCCAGCTCTACCAAAATGGGCAAAGCAGTGCTGGACCTGCAGAACAAACTGCCTCGAGCAAGGGTTGTCTATGCCAGTGCCACAGGTGAGCTGCTCATCACGGAGTGTGTGCAGAGTGCAGGTCCCCTCTGACCTGAAGGACACCCCGAGGGCTGAGCCCTGTGCTGAGCGTGTGAGGAGAGGCTAGAGAGGAGCTCAGAGTGCTGAGATCTGCCCCAAGCCTTTGGCAGGTCAGACTAATTTCTCTCCAGTTTAACTGATTCCTGGCCAGCTGTTCCAGCTGGGTGGCGACACTTTCCCACTCAGCTCTTGGAAGGAAACGTTTGGAAAGATCTCCTAAGGCACAGTGGCAAACAATGACCTCTTCAGTGGTCGCTTCTCTTGGTGCACATCTATTCCCAAGTGCTGTGGGTTTGCTGACCACAAATTCTGTCCAAACAGGTGCCTCGGAGCCAAAAAACATGATCTACATGAGCCGCCTGGGGATCTGGGGGGAGGGCACTCCGTTCCGAGCCTTCGATGAGTTTCTGCATGCCATCGAGAAGAGGTGAGTCCTGCCCAGCCCCTGCAGTGGCAGCCTGGGGTGGGGACTGGGGGCAGTGCCCAAGGACAGTGTGGGCTGTGTGAGCCAAGGGAGTTGCTCGTTCTGCAGGGTCACCTGCCTGGTGCTGTCCCAGGGCAGAGGTCGTGGGGGGGGTCACAGCTGGTTCCACAACTGCTGTCCCTTCCCAGGGGAGTCGGTGCCATGGAGATCGTGGCGATGGACATGAAAGTCAGTGGGATGTACATTGCTCGGCAGCTCAGCTTCAGCGGGGTGACCTTCAGGATCGAGGAGATCCCTCTGGACGAGCAGTACAAGGCTGTCTATGACAAGGCAGCCAAGCTGGTGAGCTGCTGTGGAGGGAGGCGGAGTTTCACCCGTGCTTTAGGCACAGCCAGTGGTATGTGGAGGGTTTGAGGCCCCTAAATGTGGCCATGACCTCAGACAAGAAGGAAAAGGGATACCCACACTTAGCTGGTGTAAAAAAACCCCTTATGCTTTCTTGCTTCTGTTTGAAAGTTCCATATTTGCAAACCAGAGCTGCATTGTGCTGATGCAGAGAATGGCCAGAGTGTTCCTCCAGCTCAGCAGAGCAACACAAACACTGCCCTTAAATCACACATCAACCCCCAGACTGTTCAGATCCCCTCCTGCATGGCAGGAATGGCAGTGGAGATGAGGATATTAACTCAGCCCTCTCTGTGTCACCTGCAGTGGGCAGAGGCCCTGATGGTGTTCCAGCAGGCAGCCGACTGGATCGGCCTGGAGTCTCGGAAGTCTCTGTGGGGTCAGTTCTGGTCGGCTCACCAGCGCTTCTTCAAGTACCTGTGCATCGCGGCCAAGGTGCGGCGGCTGGTGGAGCTGGCCCGGGAGGAGCTGGCCAGGGACAAGGTACAGCAGCAGCGCCCCAGCCTGACCTTACCTGCGACTTCTGTCTAGTCTGCAGCCAGGGGGAGCTAATTAGTGCTCGGCTTGGCTTGGCTTGGCTGAGCCATTTCAAACCTCCCCGGGGCTGAGTTTCTCTCCAGGTTTCCCAGAGTGAAGAGCAGTGTTCGGGTTGCTGAGAACATTCACAGTGAATGATGCTCAGGAGCTGATGTGGCCTCGTCTCCCGAGGCATTTCCCACTGTTCCTGCTTGGTAGATGTGTGCAGGTTGATCTGGGAGGGGATTTTGGGTCTTGTTCAAGTTGGGAGTGCTCAGGGTCAGGTTGGACCAGGCTCAGAGCAACCTGGTCTAGTGGAAGGTGTCCCATGGCAGGGGCTGGGACTGGATGAGCTTTAAGGTTCTTCCAGCCCAAACCATTCTGGTATTCTATGATTCTAGAAGAGGTACCAGACCCTTCACCTCGAGCATAACAGTCCTTTCACCCATCTGGGTACACCTTGGAGATTCTAGGCAGAAACTCTCTAGCACAGTCAGTGAGGTCTGTGCTCAGTCACCTTCTGTGGGGTCAGCACAGAGGGGTTTGGGATGCTGAATTCAAGACATGGTTCGAATAGCTACAGGCCCAACATGGATTGATCTGGGACAGGGTGCAAGGGGAGGTACCTGGGGTTGTGGAGTACCTGCAGAGCCTGGAGCAGTGCACCTGCCCTGACTCCATGCTGTGCTGTGCTTGTGTCCTGCAGTGCATTGTCATCGGGCTGCAGTCCACGGGGGAGGCTCGCACCAGGGAGGTCCTAGATGAGAACGACGGGCACCTCAACTGCTTTGTCTCTGCTGCAGAGTGAGTTAAAAGTCCCTGTTAAAAGTTTTCCTGTGGGAGGTGTGGGGGAAAGCCCTGCACTGGCAGTTCCCAAAGTGCAGTTTTGTGTCACCTTCCCCTGTACCATGGAGGGGACACTTAGTGGGTCCTTGGGGCACTGTATCTTCAGTGGGACTGTGTGAGCTAGAGCCTGGATTTTGAAGTCTCTTGTGGTCCAGACTTGCAGGAACAGCCTGATCTCGCTCTCTACACACACAATAGAATGGGCAGGAGTAGGAGAGCCAGGAATGGAGCTCAGTGTAGTTTCTGTGGGTCTGGCTCTGGAAAATGAGGCTGTTGACACAGAAGAAATGAGCAAGAGAATCTCCTGTGATGGCAGAGGCAGGACCAGTGTCCTGGCTCTGTGGCCTTAGTTCCCAGATAACAGGAGAGCTGGTTGTGCCAGAAGTGAAGCCACCAGCAGAACTTGTGCTGCCCATTCAGTGGAGAGTGAGGCTCCTGCTCCTCCTCCTTCCTGCAGCTCCCACAACACCAGCCTGTCCCTGAACACAGCTGTTCTGCACGACAGCTGACAAAACCTTGGGTTGTGTTTCCTCTGTTCTGCAGAGCTGTTTGCTTCTGCAGTGACTTTTGGTGCAGGTAGGAGCAGTGAGATATGCCAGAGGCAGTGTGTGTCTGGGTTAGGCTGAGCTTTCCTCCCTCCGTGGTGAGGGTTTGGGTTGGTCTGTGTCCCTGTGCTGTCTTCAGCCCATTCCTGAAAACCAAGTACAGTTTGATGACAGTGCACAGGGCAGGTCTGGCAGCTGTCTGGGTGATTTGCCCCCTTGGATTGGCTTCCATGTCACAGAACTGAGGTCCAGAGGACAGTGTGGTCCCTTAGAGCCTGGCTGAGAGCTCAGGGTCCCACACTGAATGGCCCCAGTCCCAGAGGCAGGAGCTCTTGTTCTGCAGCCCTGGCTGGATCACCAAGTGTCTCCTGGCATCTGCTCAGCCTGCAAATGTGTGTCCTGGTGTTGCAGCACTTCGGGGGATTTCTGGAGGGGAGTGTGCTGGGAAGGAGCAGTTGGTTAAAGATGCCGAGAAACGGGGTTAAAAATAAACAGATTGTTCCCTGGGTGGATTCCAGCCCAGGGCTCTGCTCGCAGGGACACAGCAAGGGTGAGTGCTGGGAATTGAGCAGGATTTCACGGCAGGGAGGCTCCAGAGTGAGTGTTTGTTTGGGCAGGGTCCCCCAGCACACAGGCCAAGGAACCCTCCTGGTGCCTGCCTGATGCAGTCATGGGGCTCTGTTCCTCCCTGTCCCCTTCAGCCCCTCTCCCCCAGGGCCCTGGAGCTTCCTCCCAGTTCCCAAGGCTCCCTTTTCTCACCTGGGGGCCTGTCATGTCCATCCTCTCACCTGTCACTTGCAACATTTGGTTTTGGGAGTTTTTGGTGTTTTTCTGAAGCAGAGCTCATTTGGCAGTGCCTTCTCATTGCCCTGAGAGTTCATCCACACAGTCAGCTTTTAAACATTTGCTCTTTGGTTTGCAGAACGGCCACAGAAACCTTTGGTTTCCACCTTTCCTGATTTATTTTTTTCCATTCACCTGAATCCACTACAAGTCTGTGTTCTGTCTCTTGGTTCAGTGGGAAGCAGGTCCATGGCCAGGGAATCAGAGGACCTGGTGGGGCACATCTGTTGGGGACAGCCTGACAGTGGTCTGTGCTCTCAGGGCATGGAGAGGGGCTGGACACTGGGACTTACTGGATTTTTGATGGAACAGCTTCCCAGCATAGTGTTTCCCATTTAAAACTCCCTCTTAGTTGCTATATAAAGGTTATCCTTGGCTGCCACATGGTAGCACAGAGCCCATGGGGCTCTGTTTTTGTGGCAGTTGCCACCCTGGCATGACTCCTCTCCCGGTGCTAGCAGTAAGGCCATGGCTGAGAGTATTTTTCCTGCCATTCCAGTGCTTGTGCTTTGCCTCCCCTCAGCGTGGCCGTGTCACTGCTGGCACAGCCCGTGCTGTCGTGGCAGGACCCTTTGGTGACACAGTCAGGCTCCCAGAGCCTCCCCATGCCCACAGGGCAGGACTCACCCTCTCCCCCAAGCGTGGGGTGTCTGGTGTGTGATAACTGCCACATGTTCCTGGCAGCTGGAATAAATTCTGCATCTTACTTTCAGAGGCGTCTTTCTATCACTAATTCAGAAGCACTTTCCTTCAACCAAAAGAAAGAGAGACAAAGGAACTGGCATTAAAAGAAAACGTAAGAGCTCGCTGACTCCCAGCCCAGCCCCTGCCTCCTGCCCGGCTGCTCCCCCAGCCACTCAGCTGCTTCTTTGCCTTTTGCCCTTCTCCCCACTTGGTGCTTTTTTGCCCTTCTCCCTGGTTTCGGTTCGTCTTCCTGCACATCTGTCACTCCCACATCTGGAGGACAGCAGCTCTGGGCCATCCACCCTTCTCCCTCTGCCCCCTGCCCTGTTCCAGCTCAGGGCTTGACCTCTGCCCCTGCCCTGTGGCTGTGCCCCTTCCCTTGGCCCCGACAGGGGGGCAGAGGTCCTGGCTGGTGTCTGAACCCCTCCTGCAGCGAGGTGGTTCCTCCACAACCCTTTATTTAGAGCATGGCAAGTGTCCTGGGGAACAAAAATGACTTTCCTGCCAAACTATTGGCTGTGGCTTGCGGAATTTTGGGATTTCTCATCCAGTGGGATGTGGGAAGAGGGG